TGTACCTTGCAATCATTTTCCCTACATTTTGCTGAGATTTGGTCTTTACAATACTCTCATTGGTATTTGGGACTGAGCAGTATAGTGGAGACGTTCTGCAGGTTACACGTTTAAACAACTGCTCTGCTGTCGTCTAAGCACTGGAAGATGTTAGTATTGTGCAGACTGCAACTCAACACTTAACTGGAGGGTTGAAAGCCTTGGGAGGACAAAAAGCCTAAGAAAAGAAAGCTTCCAAAACCCTTAAAGTATAATTACTTCAGATTGCCAAGAAAAGAACGAAAGGAAAAAAAAAACAAAACACAAACAGCCACACCCAGAAAAAACCAAAATCCCAAACCCCGCAACTCAAAAAAACTTCTGATAATCCTATTTTCATTTTCCAGATGACACAGCTCATTTCTAATTAGCTCCACTGATCTTTTTGGCAAAGTCTTACTGATAGTACTGCTGGGTTTATATTCATTTTTCCCATCGCAGCCAGCAGCACTGTGACTGATATAATGCAGGTGGGGATCCTGCAGCCACAACACTTTACAGTGCTTCCAGTACATCAGGAGCTGTGCTGCAATCCTGCTGCATCCATGGCAGCAAGGGCATGCAGTGCTGGGCGGCACTGCTTACATGCTGATGGCTGCTGGAACCTGGTCAGCCTTACTCCTCTGTCATGACTCCTAACGGCTCACCTCAGCTTATTATTACAAAAATACAGGGAAATTTGGGGGTTATTTTTCTTCCCACTCCACCTAACAAGCTGGGATACATAAGCTAATGAAACCTCCCTGGACAACCTTGAAAACACTTCTTTGAAAACAAGTTCTTAATGAACTTGCACCTCAGTTGTATTAATTGATCACTTCAGAGAAATAAAGAGTGAACAGACTGCTACTTTACATCACTTGCAGGTCTGTTATTGGCATGAGGGCTTATGTGCTAGCAATGTTTTTTTCCAGTGAGAATCATTAGTTCTTCCTTAAAACACCAGACAACTCCTTTCATGTTCTATTCTTTATGTCTCCTGCTTAGGGACTCTGTACTGGGTTTCAAAAGCAGAAGGAAAATCAATACCAATTATACCACTGCATTATTAAGAAAACAGTTTCCTTTGTGATTGGTAATAATTTTAATTACCAAACTAATGGTTTTATTACCCTCAGTAAGGCCTTTAATCCCTGAAGTGTGCTGAGATAAACTTTCAGTAGACTATATTGCTGTAATGTTCAACTGAAAGGCTGTCTCGGTGAAAATGGAAAGAAAATACATTGTGTGAAAAACTAAGCACCAGAGGCCAGGACTGAGTGCCACAGAGGTCAGTGATGATACTGATTTACACCAGCTGAAGATCTTTTCTATTATGTTCTCTGTTTTGGAACATCTGGAAAAATGTTCTGCAAATTACATTGGAGTCTGAGTTTTCCCTAACTAGCATCAACCTTGTCGCAGGAAGCAAGGAATTTTATTACTTCGAAATTAGGAAAGCTGATGACTCAATCATTTGGCTTTTCTCAACTCCATCTTAAAAGCAGTTACAGCTTTGGCCCTTACCAGTTCAGTTTGAAGCTGTTCCAGAATCTCACTGCTTAAATGTGCTGTCCCTATTAAATATGCTCGTGATTTGGTACAGCAGTGCC